GTCATGAGCAATTTTCTTTTTATACATAATGTCCAAAACTTTTACTATTTCTAATTTTTTCTAAATGAAACCACTTTGCGCTACAACCATGGCACATTATTAAAGCTCCATATTCCATCCTAGAGGTTTTGCTTATGTAGTCCATTTTAATGGTTCATTTTTACTTTTGTACTTTTTTTCTGTTTGTTGTTGTTTCTCTTTGCAATATAGTAATATTTTCTGAGCATCGTTTTTATTATCTCGATTTTAGTATGACGCCTCTGAAATTATCCCAAAAGGATGTTTAAAAAAAAACAGAAAAAAAAAACGTGAAATTGAAAAAAAAAATTAATATCGCTCTTCTTTAGTAACCATGTCCTACGTCGTCGACCAGCAAGAGCAAATGATGATTAATAACAATTTTGCCTTTACGAGTGAGTAAATGCTAGCAATGTTTTAGTTCATCCAATATAATATACTCCTGCGCCACCGTTAACGTTATTTACTGTGCATTCATTCACACGCCCACACTTGAAACATCACAAAGCAATAAAAAGGATCAATGTCTGAACAACAGTGCGAAAACAAAAACAATGGATCTCACTTCGACTTAACATCACGTATTTATAATTGAAATGTGACGTCCCCCCCGTTTGTTTGTTTGTAGTTTAAGCAAAAAGCTACACAGTGGGCTATCTGTGCTCTGCCTAGCGCAGGTATCGAAACCCGGTTTCTAGCGTTGTAATTTTTCCTACTGTTCCTTTGTAATAGTGGAAGATGAGCTTCGCGAACATTAGGTCGTAAAATTGTTTATCATCATCAGATTATGAGAACATGGAAAGACTTTGTCGATAATGATGAAAATTATATGGTAAAAACAAATTATCTAGATGTGTACGATAACTTAATTAACGCTACTACTTTATCCACAGAATAGTATATATGGAAGTATAAACTATTTAAAAAATTACTGCCAAACTGCGGTATACAAATTTAAACATCAAGCTCACCAAATCTGCCATTAATTATTTTTATATTTTAATGACTCCTACCTGTTACCAATAAAAAAAAACAAAAACTTCTTAATGCAATATCTGAGCTACCTAAAGAAAGCATACCCTACTCTGGAATACAGAATATTTAAAGGACCATGCACACCACTACGTATATCCATATCTTTTTTTTTGGGGGGGGGGGCTACAATTATTAGTCTTACCGCTGAGTCAAGGGGGGATGGGGCACTAAAACTTAAAATAACTATTCATCACTCTTGACCAGTTATGCTTCGACTTAAGCTCGGAGATATTATCCCTTTGTTGTTGTTTTTCTTACTTGCTAATTAGCATATTGTACATATAATACTTTGTACAAATAAAGATTTATTTGGCTGTATTGCGTGACGAACACAATATTTGCGATTTCTGAACCGATCAGTGATTTAACATTTTGGTCTTTTGTAGGGCCGAACTATCGAACGTATATTTTTAAATGCAATAATAAATACAACGAATTGTTCTAAGTAAGTACACGAACAAAACACTAACAGCAGCAATGCTGTATTGTAACAAATGCATATTGTCTGTAAAAAAAAAAAAAAAATCCCTAAAAAGTGAATATACAACAACCTGATGATTGTGCCTGTCGTTACTTCTGTAAAACAGCCCAGACTTAGCCCACGTGACTTCCTAGTATTAACGGTGTGAAATGGGATACGATGTACAGAACGTGTACGAACCAATTCTTATTCACGTAACAAGCTTATTCTAATTGGGTATTCGAAAATAAAAAATAAAATTACATCTGGTTAATTTCACTAACCATAGCCAAGTACTTCCGTTTTTTTAAACATTTCTGAAATAGAAAATATGTATATTTAATGTTTAACACTGAAGAATTTTTGGATTTTTCTGAATTATTTGTCTAAGCTCTCAAACCGTATAGGTCAACTTGTACAAACTTACAACCACGACTTTTAAGTGCAAAAATAAAAAATGTCTGGCCAACGATAAGACTTTATAGTTTCATAATTGATGACACTTTTAATTTTTTTCAACACAGATTTGAAAATGTAACCTTTTTTTTAGCAGTTTAAAAAATATTTGTACCAGGAACAAAAATACACAACATTAAGCACACACACACACACTGATGTTTCCGTGAGTAAAAACAAAAACAATATTAAATATGATTTTGGTTAATAAGTTACTGTCACCTAACACCAAGATTGGATAGTATCTTAACTAGTAGACTTTGTACTGGTGGCCTGAAAACAAAATTAATGTAATGTATACTACATCCACTAACACACGCTCCGTTTCAATACAAAATAAGGTACTGACCTTTCAACCTTACACTTCCTAACTACGATTTTAAGTAAAATATGGCAGATAAAACTTATTTAGTTTATGACTACCGTTGAACGTTGTGTATTGAGATAATCCTGGCTTCTGGTTGAAAACCATCATTGCGGACAAGCACAAAAAAAAAAAAACGCATCGCCACAAACCGTAATCCGGAAACCAGAATTTGTACCTTTCTTCATGACCTTGTACTTAAACCACAAATTTAAACAAAAAAAGATGACGTACTTGGAAAGTTCAAAATAACCGCAGATTATGACACTTTTACAATATTAATACAAATTAAACATAGTCCTTGACATGTCAAATTCAATAAAGCTATAAATAGATTTTCATTAATCTTTTTGAAGATTCAGTTAAACATTACACATTAAAAGTTACATGATTAGACAAAGTCTTTTCTATCTATAAATCAATGCAAAACGTGTATATATCATGAAGATATCCACTAATCTAGAAGCCACCATAATAAAATATCACAACAACCTACTAAATTACATCCATAATTGATTAAAGATTTTTCTTTAAACTTCTACATAGCGTAATTAACTCAGAGGGCCCTCACATTACCTTCCCCCAGTAATTGTCATGCTTAAGTCATCTGCTTAATAAATAAGCATTAAAATACGGTGCTTGCTAATCGTGTGTCTAGACGAAAACTACAAAACATGAACTATTAAATTCTTAAATATAGAACAACTAGAAATATTCATATGACACGTTTTCCACTATTTCACTGGCCTTGTTTTACCAAACACCAAAAACGCTGTAACTAATGCATCTCAAGCATTTATTCCCGCCAGTCAAATGTAGTGTCAGCTGTCTGTTACACCATAACGTTACATTACAGCTTTTAGAATCAAACTTTTATAACTTCCAAAATATTTTTCTAACATTTGAAACCCAGTTTCAATTCAAAACTATACTGAACATGAAAGATGGAAAATTAGGTCTCAAAGAATAGGTTTGGATTCTAATTTTTTTCTACCCACCCAAAAAAAAAGGTATGCCAAATGTAGATTATATAAATTATGTGGTCAAAGTTTTTTTTTTGTAATTATGACTGTCATATTCAGCAATTGGGAGAATAGCTACTAGTTATTATAGCTGAATGATTAAGGGATTGTTTGGTTTATTTCTAATTAGATTAGCTGTAAGATTATATATGAAAACACATGCCAGTGCCTTCAACCTGGCACTACTGGAAATAATGTTACTGTTCCTATATTAAGCACATAATTCCACCTTAACTAAAAACAGTTAAAATACTAAAAAAAAAAAATACTTATTAACTGAATATTGGAGATTTCATGTACTTAAAATCTTCTTGTAACAGATGACAATTTACATTCAGCACTCTGTTTTAATGATTAACAAAATCAATATATTTCATCATAAAAACTACATTTATGTATGTTTGAACATTTTAACAACCTGCTCCTTAGCTCAGAAAATTTATGCAATTGGAATTACTTGAAAACTGTTATAAACACCTTATAAACCTGGTTTCTTGTTTTGTATTTTTTGTACCTTACATGTTTTCTTAGTACAAAAGACATTTTACAAATCTATACTCATATGATAAATACACTATAAAATGTGTACTGAAGAAATTAAAACAGTTCCAAAAAATAGAACAAAACAATATGCATATTGTAGTAAAACGTTTTGAAGGGTTGTGATAATAGTTACAAATACTTGATGTTTTCCTATAATTACACTTACTCTGAAGAATGTACCCAGCACTATTTCTGGTAAAATGGCATATTTAAAATGAAAATAGTTGCATCTTAATTTTGTTTCATCATGATAATTCTTAAAAAATATGCATGTCTGAAACAATGAAATACATATACAAAGTTTAAAAATTAGACCACCATTCCACAGTTCTTTTAATGATTATTAAGTCTATTTTAGAGAATAGATTATTTATGAGAGCCTAATTCACACACTTGTATTAGAAATACAAAATTTAATGTGAGTTTACATCAATTACAAAATCAAATTTATTTAAAATTACTAATTCATATTACAATAAGTTTACATAAAACTCCACTTATGGTCGAACAAACTGACTTTTAAGTGTTGGCCACTAAATCCTAAGTACATAGTCTGCAACTTTATTAGGTACATGCACAATTGTTCATTACAATTTTCTACTTGATCTTTGTGAATGTACTGCTTTATCTCCCTACTGATTTGCTGTTACAATTTACTTGCATTATATAGCTAATTTTTCTGTCAAACATTGCTGTTTCTCATTATTTAATTATATTAATAAGATAATAGTGTACCCATATTTTTAGGGTGATTTAAAGTATTTTTACTTAAAAGAATAAGTTGAAAACACACAGACCTACATTTCAGTACAATATATTTTTTAATACTGTGTCAGAATTGGTGAAACATTGACACCAATTTTCTCTGGAAGCTGACTAAAATGCAGTATTGGGCCTATATATTACCTGACCATTAACAAAACCATTAACTGCCACTTTTATGGGATGTATATAAATATAGTAGTACTGTTTGTTGTCTGTCCATGTAACTACATTGCAGGGTGTGGATGGATCTTCACCAAAAAGTGGCATGGAGATTCATTAGGTCCATACGGAAATACATACAAGTTTACAGTTTTGCATTTTGCAGTTTTTATGGTTGTTTTTGCATTTTGTAGCACTATTCTGCACCATTGATGGATCTTCACCAAATTTTGCATGATGGTTTGTGGGTCCATGCAGATATACAAGCAAATTTGCAGTTTCACATTTTGTGTTTTTATGGCAGTTTTTGCATTGTTTACAATTACATATAAGGGGAGCAATGTTTTGCGTCCTAAGATAACCTTTCATTAATCATGAATTTACATAACTTCCATCCAGGGGACAAGTACTCCAGCTAGTTTTGAATAAAATTTGTCATAACAGAAAACAACAGAAATGTCTATATTACAGAGAGAAAGGAGGGGGGGGGGGGGGGGTGTTCTATAACCACGATCTAATAAACAATAATTATTAGTACAAGATCTCCTGGTTAAATGTAAATTCATTAATGTTTTAGATGTATTAATTTTTATATAAAATCTTGTAGTGCTTTAAGCATAGCATAATAATCATCTTTTTTCAGAAACTCAAAGCATGCTTAGTCTTACATTAAAATACAGGAGCCCAATTTGAGTTATAAATTTTTTTGTAAAATTATAACTAAAAGAGCATTTCTAATATACCGCTTGCCCCCTTTTGAATTTTTGAAAATCACCACAATTCAAGGAATGCAAAGGCCAAACAATGCTGGTTAAAAGGCTTTTGTTTGCAAAATATCAGATTTTTTTTAAATAAAGTTTTAAGTAATGTTTTTCACATGCATTTTTCTTTTTCAAATATTGACTATTCAACATGCAAAGTAATTTTGATTTTAAGATTAAAAATACTTTTATGTCCGAGAAAATTTTCAAATTTTACATACAAAATCTGTACAGCCTCCAGATAATTATCAAATGCTTTTTAATGAAAAAAAAACTTTATATTTTATCTATTATCTTCACTATTGTATCTCTGTACAGCTACGGTTGATTTGACCAACCACAACCAGGTAGGAAATAGATACAAGTTATGCTATTTTTGTTCTAGAATGACTACAAATTGTAACGTGAAAACACAAATGTTTAGTCTAAATAGCTTAAATCTCATAACATTATACATCTATATATATATATTTATTATTTTAATTTTATTGACCTTTCAGCCATGCCTGGCTAACATTACAGACATTGCAATGATGCAACTATAAGCTTGAATAATAAGCTACAATTTGATACCAAACTTGTTGACATACATTTGAAAAACAATAATTCAATAAAATTTAGAAAGTAAGTCTACAAATGTGATGACATGGCCTTTGACCCATAACCATAGGAATACCTGCCCAGTAAGGTTAAGGTACATTCACAGATCTGTAGATGAAACAAACAGCAAGTCTGAACTAAGATCAAACTATTTACAAAATAGTCTAGTGTTATATTTAAAAACAGAAATTACTTACAAGTCGGAATCCTCTGTCTGCTCTTTGGTATTTGAAGTGCTGTTCGTGTCAAAGACCTGGAAATCATCGCTTAAAACTTCAGCATGATCTCGACTCAGGTCAGGCTGTAGTGAAATCACGACTTTCTCTCCTGGAGAAACAAGAAGGTTCAGGTGATAAAAAAGTAAAGCACAATTTAAATAATAATAAACAAATCTGATAAAATACACTAATAAGGAAACTGACAAAAGGTATGAATGTGAAACTTACCATTATATTTAGAAGGTTCATTTCAACATGTAATATTTAAAGCTTTATGAATACAATAAAAATGACAATAAAAAATGTACACAACCTTTTATGAATTGTAATCATTAACAAGAATACTGCATTATATGGCCTCCAAACAACGTACCTCCATCAACTTGGCTTTCAGCACCACCACCAGACAAATCTGCTTCCGATTCTTCATTTGACTTCCTGGCACGTTCAACTATTAAAATAATAATCAACTATTTTAATGCATACAGTATGAAAATAATTAACAACTACACATTCATCGTCACTACTGTACAGGCAGTGCAGTTAAGTTTATGTTATAGGGCTCCAACAAGTTGGAAGGTCCTGGAAAAGGAAGATCCTCCTTTCTTTTATTGGCTTCTAACTGCTAAAAATTTCATATGGAACCTTTTCCTTGATTCTTTAATGCTATTTTTAATTAACAATGTTTGTTGATTAGAATGTTTAATATATCTAGTTTTGTTATTATTACTCTTTATACTTTTATCATAGACATTGTCTTGCATTATTAGCTTAGTAGACAGATTTAGGATTAACATCGGATATTATTGGGTTTACAGATAAATATATCGTTATTAGTTAGAGTATCCATCTAATCAAATAATTCATTCTAATCTCCATAAGTAAGAATGTAATAAAATCATATTTAATTAGCTAAATGATTTTTAGTTTTGAACTAAATAGGTAGCTTTCTTTGGTCAGAAGTTAATATTAACTGAACGTGCATGGGGTCTGTCCATTAGACCAATCACGTACTGAAGAAGGAATGTTGACTATTATTTAAAATTTACTGTTCAAATCTGTTGTACACAAAAATCAATGTGTTATAAAAGTATCTGTACATAATATATGTCTGTGAATTGACAATGTCAGTTTTACTCAGACTTTGACAAGATGGAGTGCTAAGTGATGTTCAAGTGAGGAATACAAACTTTTGTCCATCATACACTTTGCATATTGCATTTTCTTAACCTCTAAAACCTCCAAAATATATAACTACAATTTTGTTCAGTATTTCTGTACACTGTATCTAGTATTTACTCTCTTCTATCATGAACTGTTGCTAAATTAGCAATGTAGAGTAAAATGAATAGTTGATAACTCTTGACATCAAATACATAATACCATGTTGAATAGCACTCTATAAAAGGTCTTGCACTTTTTAATACCCACCATGCACATATGGTTAATTAAATTCAAATGTTTCTTCTCAAACTGACATTACAATGAATTATATAAGCAGATATATAAACTACATGAACTGTAGTAAGTTGGGAACAATTGACTCTATAAATAAGAAAGAAAAGATACTTCATGCATATCTATAGGAAAGGACACATATATATCAGTCATTTCTAAACAAATATAAATCAGCAAAAATTCCGTATACAAAGCAACACTGCATCTCATACTCTTCATACTTCATATTGGAGCTGAAACTAAAAATGTTTGATAGATTATTAAATTACTTGACCAGTAATATATATATATTATGATTATTAGTTTTCCTGAAGCACAGAAATATAAAGATATAAAAAAAAACTGAATTAAATGCACAGCACTTAAAACAGTTATGTACAACATGGCAAACTAAGAGTACAAATGCTATAAAGCAAGTTTTGAATTCATCTGGACATTTTATCAGACTAATGACGTACACACTGCAAAGTCTATATTAAATAAGTAATTAATTAAAAACTAATTTCAAAGGGAACTCTTAATTAAAAGAAATTCAGTTTGATTATAAGCTATTTTATTTGTCATCAAGTTATTCAGTATTATACAAACAAAGAAATCCTTTTGATTAAGTAGTAAGAATGTAGAATAGATGAATTCTAATTGATGGATGATTTCAAAGAGTATAATTTAATATGGGTAAGGCTTCTGATTACAGATTAGGAGACTTAACTAAAAACTGGCGTGTTTTGGACTTGTAAGCAGCATCTCATCCATGCCCACGGTATCATTGAAACATAACTATACTTAAATGAACAATTATACAATGTATCAAGCTACTATTTTGGAGAAACCAACACTTATGTTTCATAAGTATGCTGTCATTATGGATTAGAATTCACAGCTCTATTGGTGTGTTAGCAGGGCAGAAATAGTGCATGTATATAACATCATGATAACTATCTCCTCAACAACTGAAACCTGATTACAAAGCAAACTTACACAATAAATGAAATATGACTAATAAATTTATCACCTTATTGATCTTACCAACACAAATATCAATAAGCAACAAGTGAAGCACAAGTTCTTCTAATACCAAATCTTTTACCAGATTAAATATACTGAAGTACAATCACTTGTTTAAAACAAATTCATGATGTTAGCAAATACATAGGCTAAAAACAATAAATTATAAGAAACCCTATAACACTTTTAAAAGGTAGAGCTCTCTTCATCAGAAGCAAATTGAGAATAACGAAGTTAAGTGAAATGTGAGAAAAAGTGGAGCAGTGTTCTGGTAGAAAACTAGGATAACCCAGAAGTGTTTTAATTTCCTTCAAAAGAATGTTATAGGTGTGACTCATTTCCACTGTGCCAGGAAACAAAAATGTTAGATATAAAGAAGTTAGAAAATTTTGTTTAAAGAAAATTATACTGGATAATGATAAGCAAGATAAAGATGTAATAAGATGATAGATTAAGAAGAAAATGTTAAGGATTTAGAACTAAGAAGATAAAAATCAAATGAAAATTATCATAAATAAATAATCAGTATTAAAAAAGGTTAGGAGTAAAATAAAGAATTTACATCACACATGAGAAATGAAAAAACTTTTTTGTCAGACAGGGAACTAATTAACAGTCAAAGATTACAGATTCCAAGAGTTAGGTTTGTTCCACAAGGTTGAATAGTATTAAAAATGGCAATCCAATAAGCATCTTTCATTTCTCTATCAGCTTTAGTCGGAAAGCCAGTTTCAATTTTTTTATGAGAATCGCATCATTAATAGAATTACCAGATTGGTTGAAGTGTTGGGCAACAGGGAGGTTTTTTTGGTGTTAATAGAAGATTTATGGTTGTTGAAATGCTAAGTCATTTGGATTTGTACTACATACTGGTAATTGCACTGTTTACATTGTATGAAGTAAATGGTGTTGTACGTTATGCATGTAATTGTTTTAGTAATTTTAAAGTTTATGAATTTGCATGTTAAATAACAAGCTTTATTACATGGATGACAACCATTCTGTGGTGGAGTGTAACTCACTTGTGCACAAACAAAGATACCCAAGATTTCTGCTCTTCAATGGGAACTTTAGAAAACATTATTCTTAGAAAATCATTCAGTGTAGTGAATGGAATTTTGCTGTTTTCTTTGTTTTTTTTTGCAGAGTATGAAAAATGTTTTTGAGTTTAAAGCAATAGGTAATAAGGAGAATAATTATGTTTATCTCTTTAGTATTATGTTTAACAAGGTTTTTTATTGAGTGTTGTTGGCTTTTACAATGTCTGTCTGTCAATTTTGGCATCTTTATACCTTCTATATAACATGACTTGTTTTAGATTCATAATGTTTTTTCTACAAGTTGTTTCATCTGTATAGATTTTCTTGATTCGGATCCTTTGACTGTGGGTAATATTCTGTTTAACTGAGTGAAGTGACAGCTTTCATAGTGAAGATACTATGGTCTGTCAGCAGGTTTTTTGCAGGAGTCAATTAGTAAAAGGCCATCATTTAGTGACAATAGAATGTCAATAAAATTAACTTGGGTAGCAGAGAAACCAAGAGTGCGTGTGTGAAATGTGTTAGCAAACGAAAAAAAGTATTTTTAAATAATTCAGAACGAGCTGTCTGATTGATAAACATATCTATGTAGCATTTCCATGTGCAAGGTTTCACAGATCCTTTTTTGTAATAACTGGTTTTCAGTATGGCTCAAATATGTTGGCATATTTAATACAAGCTGGTAGTCATTAGCTAGTGGAAAGTACTGTCATTAAAAGGTTGGAAAAACATGTCAATGGTTTTGTAAACAGGAATGTTGAAGAAAAAGGAATTAATATCGAAACTGAACATAAAATAAGCTAGAAGTTTCAATATTCACAGCACAGTTTTTATGTAAAGGTTGTTTAGTGCAAGATTATATATTTTCTAAGCCTATGATATATTTTGTACAAGTTCAGTGATATTTCTGTGAACATTGTGTACTTCCATATCCATGAAAGCTACTTATCCTTTGCTTATTTTAATACGTATGTCAAAATTCCATAACCAATATTTCTTTGTTACTGAAAAAACATTTATCAAACACTCATCTGAAAAACCAACAGCAGAAAAGAAATATTTTTTGCATTTTTCTGTTATCCATCTTCATTTTTACTGACATATACATTATCAAGGTTTTTAACTCTACACATAAATCAAAGATATGATCTCATATATTATTCGCTGCATATCATTTGGACTGTTGCCCTTAAGTACAAATAAAAATATCTGCAAATCTTTTCTAGTTTCTAAATGCAGTTTAACATATATATAAGTGCTAATATAAACCTTCAAGTAACTCAATTTAAATGTAAATTAAAAACAGGTTTTACTTACTTGCACCAGGTGAAGGTTGGCTTGGCTTTCGGCTTTTCCCAATGATGTTTTCCATTATACCAGACATTCGATCTCTCCTTTTGTCTTTCTTGTTTCGAAGGGTACCTATGCATGTCTCTTCTACTACTTTTACACACATTTTATGGATGTTCATTTCACAATCTTCAAGTAAATGAAAATTAATACCAAATTACAAAAAATTTAACATAGCACACTCTACTTAATAAAATAATAATGAAAACCTCACTTTAATACACTATGATTTATACTAGCTTTCTTTCTAAAATAGAAATAAAACGACAATTCAAATACTCTTTTCTGGTAGCTTTATCTTATTCCAAAACAAATACACAAGTTTGTTACATATTATAGCATAAATAAAATGCCAGTCTACAATGGGAAAATACAAAATATGTACATACAGTAATATGAAATAAAACAAGAAGTTTTCACTCCCAAGCTTTAGAGCATAAAAAACCTGCACATTTCTACTCGTATATTAAAATACATAACTTTACTGTTCAATATTTTAAACTTAAATTACATGGGCTAAAACAGCCAAGACAAAACCCCAGGGAAGATAGTAGGCAGTTACTAGAACACACTACTACAAGGGGTTTAGTCCAACTCCTCAAACTAAATAATGATATTAACTATCACATTTATTAGAAGCCAACAGCTGAAACTGTGGAACATTGTTCAATGGCATTGCATTTCAAACCTTAGGCTTTCTAATCCAAAGCCTGGCAATGGCATATTTAACATTGATGCAATCAGGGAAACATACTGACGGGCCCCTCATATTGCAGGCCCCCAAAGTGCTAAAAAAAATATTCTATACCTGTAGCTGATCAGAACGAACAAGTCCCCTAAGAAAACAGCACAGTAGTCTGAAGTGTTAAAAATGCCTCTGAAGCCTAGCACACCCAACCCACACCATTTGAGAATGGTCCCTGTGTGCCAGTTTGCTTAAAGCAATATTAATGTTAAGTTTTTTCTTGTTCAGATAGTAAAAGGTGTTTTATAAAGTATTATTAAAGATGAGATACTTTTACTACTTTGAGATTTAAAATTCATACATATTAAAGTACACATATTACAAGTATGATGTTTGTGCAAATGAATATCACTGGAAATCGTACTTGGATTTTTTAAGGATATAAATATAAAAAACCTGCCCTCCTACACTAGAAATAGAACATCAGAAAAAACCTTTCTAAAACTGAGCTTCTCAAAATATAAATATTTAATACCCTCTTTTCTTTCAAGCTATACAATTACAGTAGACAATAAAAATGAATGTCTGAAGATAGAATACTTTACAATTAAACCTTGAGAACCTAATACTCTGATATTATCATCTCTGTCTAACATTTTACTATTTTGTTTTAAGATTTTTCAAATGCATTAGATAGTGTTAGTCATTGGTTATTTAGTACTGTGTACACTAATAAACTAATTTCTTGATTTCTATTTAATAAATATTAAATTAAGCACAAATAATAAAAGCTGATTGCTAGACAAAAAATGTCAGGATGGGCTAAAGTAGAATATGTAAAGCAAGTTAAGCCACACAATTTTCAAAACAAAAAGTTTCGTGTTAACTAATTACTTTTTTAATTAAGATAGAACATACAAAATCATCATTCTAACAATAACAACTTACTTTGGCACTGGTATCCTTGGTTTCCAACCCCCCAAATAATTAACTGGCAGTGATTGCAGAACGTTACACAGCAGTAGTGTTCTGGCAGAAAATGATGGTTTCGAACAAAGACAGGCTAAAAGTTAGAAATTGAAACTAACATGTACAGTGAAGATGAGGAGACACAAAGAAAAGAGGTACTGTTTACATTTTTGTTCAAAACTAAGAAGGCTATACCTCATAAGGCAAATATATTACTGAAAAAAGTATGTATATACACACACACACACACATCTATCTATAAAGCTGACCTACCACAATATGCAAAAAAAATATATACAGGTTTGTATATAGCACATTTGGACCTTGTAGCAAAAACACAATTTAATATTTCCAAAAACACTACATAATTTAATAGATATATGCAGGGCTGCAATTCTCAACAACAACAAAACAAAAGTAGAGGTACTCAGCTGGGTGAAGTGGACCCGTTTTTTTTTGTTTTTTTTTAAATCTACGTGTGAATAACAATTTGAATGTCAATGAATAAATGCTTTATGATAGAACAATGAAATGCATGCACATCCAAAAAAGCTGCTCAAATAAGTCCCGGTGCTTTTACTGCCTTAAAAAGTAAGTTCCGGTGCTTAGAGAATTTTACCCCTGGATATATGTTTTACAGCTGGTTGAAAAGTTCATAATTTGTCTAAATAAACTTAAGGTTACATTTTAAAAGTCACTTACTACATTCCTTCAACTTAAAAATCAGAAAACTTATGCATCTTTAGAAATATAATTTTTTCTTATATAACATGGCTTATTCTCAGTGTAACAAAAGCAAGTACTAAAGCATTAAAACTTCATTTTATCATGCTTGTAATAATATAAATTACTTTAATCTCAATTAAATTACAAACTTTAATAATCACCTTTTTATTTCTCTGTAAAAAACGCAACCTTGTCTTTTCCTTAGCAACAAAACTTGGACATCGTTCAATCATATTGACAGCTTGCTGATTCTTTACTCCAAACTGCTTGAGAACAGTGGCAAGAGCAGCAACCATAGCAGATGTTTTGTCATCAGCATTCTCAAAATCCTCTCTTCAGTATAATGGTTTTGTTCAATGGTATAAAACCATTTAATAAATATTATGTTTAACCAAACAAATTTAAAACAATTCACAGTTTGAACAATCAAGTGCCCAGTTATTATACTTAGATATACAAGTACATTAAAAAGCTCCAACTTCTATAGCACTAACAAGACACACCTTCATCTGTTGCAGCCATGTTTGCAATTTCAGAAGTTTGCTTTAAACACAATACAAATAAATTAACAACTGTTGTATTATAAAAATAAAAAATTTGACAGAACATTACTTTATATTCAACAAAATGTAATTTGATATTTAACTTATAATAACCAAGTAGGAGTCTCGTAATAGAAATTTACAACACAGTAAGAAGTAGAGGCTAGAAATCACACAAATTGAACACTAATACGATAATTCATCAAAATATATCAAAACAAATATTCCATTGATAGTAGTCAAAATTCTTACACTATTAGAGTCACATCTAGCTGACTCATGCAAGCACCAGTATGGCTATTCAAGTGTAGGTTTTGTCAAAGTTAAATATACTATTTAAGCAATCTAGCTACTAAACAAAAATGAAAATAAATATAACCAAGACTGATCTATCCTATAACAACTTTTGCTCCAGAAAATGGCAGAAACTCTAAAGTATATACAACTTCAGTTATTTCCCAGCCATTTCTTAACCCTTAAGCCATCATCTAAAAGATGCTAATACTTTTATATGATGATTATTCAGATGATGTTGATACTAAATCTTCTCTGCATTTTGATAAAGCCTGTAGTGAAAAGTGGATTGGATAAGTACTCGAAAATTAAAAATGTATACTTGAATTTAAATATTTATATTAAATATGTTTATATACAAAAAATGAATACTTACGAAAGATTCTCTAAGATTGGAACTAACAGTTGTTCAATAATCTTTAATTCCTTGGTTTTATCTTGCATGGCTTCCTCTAGCTGACTATCTGATGGTCCAAAAAAATTCCCTAGACCTGCAACACAACAGAATTGGTTAAAAAGTTTCATTTATTAATATTATACTGTGAATGACAATGAACTCACAAACAGTCTGAGCTCTGTGTAAAATGATCAGCTTACTGTTCCATTTCCCAGTGAGGTGACAAAGAAAATTATTTATTTACTAGAAACCTGTGATGTCTAAAAAACCAAAGAGCAGTGTTACAAGAACATTTTAACAATATAAATATAGATACATAAATCTCATTTTTAAAACATAAGAATAAAAAGGAATCTAAAGCTCCAACTTTATGACCCTTTGCCATAGCACCTTGTTGCTAAATTCCTACTCGCCAATATTGTAAATAGTTAAATGCTTAAATTACATATGTTGTTATACCTTTCACTAATGTTGGAGTCTGTATATTGTATCATATTGAGCAATTTTAAATTTTTGCCTGTTATAAAACTTAGCATAAAGAACTGATAGAAAAATCAATTGAAGCTACCACTTTTTATGTAAGGGTTAATGGGATTTATTACAGTACTAAGGGTATTTCTGTTTGTTTGTGTGTGTGTGTGTGTGTGTGTGTGTGTGTGTGTGAATGATAAGCTCTTAGAAACACTATAACTAACAAAGTCATCAACCCATGCAAAACTTGGTGTATAAATAATTAGGGAAAAGTGTTGTTTAAAAAGCCAGTGGGCTCCAATAGTAAAACTAAGGTTAAGTAGTAAAATAAACTTTTTCCAACCATCTTTTTTTTTTCTAAACACTTTTCAATTTGTATGCCTTTGTACAAAGTCACAAATAAAAAGTTAATTAATTTTCTGCTGTTTCAAGTTGTCAAGCTTAATCTGTCATCTTAAAATTCTTAGCAATGCTTTTTGGCTATTTTTTGCAATCCAGACATGTTGGTATGAACCTTAAGAAAAACATTTTCTTGACAACTAGGAATCTGTTTAGATGGCTATTAAAAGCAGCTCTGCAAGTCAAGTGAGATTAACTTTATTCATTATTTGAACTTTGTTAATTCTTCCAACATTCTTCTCAAAGGCTCAACAAATTTTCTGTTTACAACACATTCAATCCATATACAATTGTCACTGCAGTACGTAGCAGAGAAAGAGGTTCAACATTCAATTCTCTTTACAAATTCAACCATGTGAAACAAAAAGTGAAGCAGCTAAATGGATTACCTACTTACATAATTACTTTGACAAAATTTAGGAAATTTATAAGAAATGCTCCCTTTTTTAATGGAATAACAGATTTTTTTGATGACTGGAGTAGTTATATGATAGACTAAAACTCAAAATGGGTCTAACATAGCTTATACATCCCATTTACAATGGAATAAAGTTAAGTAAAAATAACCAATCCACTCAAAATCTGTATCTCTGGACTTTATTTGAAGTGTATACTAGATTTCCTCTCCTTGCAACAAATCCCATTGATCAACTTTCCTCCTTCATAAACAGAGATAAATAACCAAAGTTTTACAGAAAATTACATGCAACATTCTGCACAGTTCAGAAGAGAATTCTAGTCATTAGCTACAAATATAATACAATATTAGTGATATTTTTTAAACATGTTAATACTAATTTACCTTATGTGAACAGTGTCAATGCTTTGCACCATCCCAGTTTCTATGAATCTACATATAGCAATATTTACTAATTCCAAATTTACTAAGTGTATCTTCATGAAATTTGGAAGGCTATTGGTAAACATTTACAACTATGTTGTACACAAAATATCAGAATTTTCAATAAAGTATCTTTACAAAAGATTTCTCTGTAAATTTACTGAGTCAGTCCAACTGATCTCAGTGCAAGGTGATTTTTATGTTAAGAAGAAAAGTAGTGTTTCAACTTACAGTTTTCATATTTCATTTGCATAACCTATGAAACCTCCTAAATAAAAGTCACATCTTTTTTTTGAGTAAAACTATTTTTATCAGTGATTTTCTCTACCCTAACTGTAATGAAATAAGTAATGCAAGGTAAAGTGAAAGATAAAAAGTACAAAATAAATCTATTTTACCTTCTCACAATGACTGCATATTGTAACAAACAACTACATACTATTTATTCTACAGCCAAAGCTAACAGACTTTTCTAATCTGGGTTTATTTAGTTTATTGCTTTACAGCTACACTTAAAATCCTCAGAGAGTAGGCTAACAGCTTTTTATCTCAGCTGGACAGCTTTGTGTAAATAAAGCAATCAACTTACAAACACAACATGAATGAATTACAAAATCCCCTGCACACAGAGCGTTACATTACCTATCACAATATATTTTTGTTGTTGTTGTTTCATTTAGATTTTCTGATTTAACCTATTAATTTCAATTTTACATTGCAGTAACTTTTATAAAAAAAAGAAAAAATATACATAAAAAACAAGAAGTTTAGTATTTACTCATCAAGATTCCTGAATTTTGCTATCTAAAGATAGTGCAATGTTCGCCTACTTTTTCGTAGAAATGTTGTTTGTACAAAATATTTTCAATGTTTTATTTAAGGTTTAACTGAAAGTTTTCAGTCCTATACTCGAGCAAAGTATTTCCAACATTGCTTTGCAATTATTCAACATAAATACCTGAATTTTTAAAAATGACTCTTACAAATATAAGCTACAAGCAAGACAAGAAATAATTCTTCTCTGATTTTTACTTTTATTGTAATGGGTCCTTAAATGTGAATAATAAAAAAACGTAATTCCAATTTTTCTAAATAGTGAACTGATTGTTAACTTACTAATTTTTGCCACATAATTCTATTGGGTACTTCTATAATTTAATCAGTAAAATATTTGTTGACACTGTCTAAAAAATGTGTAATAAAAAAAACATGAAAACGTTGAATTTAAAACATCGTTATTAAAAAGAATTAAGAAGTATGTTTTTAAAGTAATTAGGTTAATTTGAAGTGTTTCAAAAATTATTTTTTTACAATTATATTATTTTTTTAACATCATTTTTGTTAATAAATAAGAATTACACAATTCTATTGTTTTAAAGTACTGGTGTTTTCAAGTAGAGGGCCCTAGTTGTACATGTATATTTAGTACACACAACCAGTGGGTTTACTGTTCACAGCATAGGTTCCACTCATAAGTGAAGTTGAATATTTCCAATTCAAAACTTTACATGTCATGGAATACATTGTACTGTTTTCTGAAGTGGAATGTAATTATTTCATATGTATATGTGTTAATGTTAAAATTTGTATAGTAAATCTAAACATAATTAATTTGAAGTACATGATCTTATCTATTTTGAGAAGTAAAATCTCGGATTTCCATAAATATTATCCTAATACAAGTTCGGTTACAGTTACTATTACTCTAACAATTTCAATAATAATTCAATAATAATTAAACAAATGATTTGTTGTAAGTGGCCACTAACAATAATAAAGTGGGGATCAGCAATCAGTGGCTAGGAAAGAGAATTATAAGCCAGCCCTGTCGACAGGAACCAATGATTAACACCATAAAGGGAACAAATGGTCGATTAACAGGAAATAGATAATCAACAATTGGGGAAAAAAATTTTATTATAAGCACAATTTGAAAACATGTTTATAACTATTGTACAGTTCCTTGTCAATTGAACCAAATAAATAAATAATATGGTGTTATGAAAAAAATAGCATGGACCAATTATTTTGTCTCTGTTATAAGATTTGTTTATATGAATTCCAACTGTTGGCATCATGTAATGTCACTTGCCACTCCTTACCACCACCTACATCTTCACAATCCCTGCTATGGTATAGTACCTAGTCTTGTCCATTTTAAATTGGTCACTGACAAATATCACAGTGAAGTGTGAAATTTACTTAGTAACACATAAAACTCAATATAAGAAGCTCTTACTGGTTTTGCAGTCATTTTCTTTTAATTTACCAAATTTCTTCCTGATATTCTATGCATTTCTTATACCAGAAATTTAGTACTTTCTAACTGTATGCTGAGACCCTGCGTAAGAAGTGAAACATGGCACAAAAGAACAAAATTTCCAAGTAAAATAAAAAAAAAAAGAAATTGACGTGGATGGAATTTCTGGAAAAAAGCTCAACTAACCTCATCTATTCCTATTTGCTCTTTTAACAACTTTAGTAGCAGCTTGATGATGACTCCACCCAAAAATAACAACAATAGACAGTGGTAAGTATTAAAAAAATTTGATGGCAAAATAAATGTGAAACGCAGTCTATAATTCAATTTACTTTTTTTTTTTCACTGTGTTATGCTAGTTTGAGGAATTTCACCTTCATCAGTAACCCTTGACAAAAGCAAATTGATGAATAAGACTAGGCTTCATAAAATGGTGTAGTGTATATTTTATTCCTAGTTTAACAATAAATTATTTGGATATTAAAAAATATATCATTTATCATCTGAGCTAAAGTAAGATAATCGAGCACATATGAAAGGTAGACATAAACACATCAGAAAATAATGCAGTGAATCATCGGTTGTGTATTATATCTTCAACCATAATAGCTAAAGCAGTGTTTCCCAAAGTGTGGTCCACGACCCAGTATCGGTCCATGAACAAAAAATTCCAGTCCGCAGAAAACTAAAAAAAATTAATTTGATTTAATTTTAACCCCTTCACTACCAACTGCCATTTTAAACTTTCTCCAAGCCTTTGTTGTATATTAAAGAAAAATGTAATTAAATCAGTTAATATAAATATATTCTAATAAAATTAATATTTTCATATAAATTATAACTTAAATTTTCATTTCATCTAATTTGGATTTCAATGGAACTAATATAACAAGAAGGAAAAGTGAAAGTTTGTACTTAAAGATACGAAACTAAAGAATTCACAAGCTGACAGCTGCCTTTATACCTTCAGTCTTTCAAGAATTAAGGTGTTCTCACTTAGTGCAATTTAGAGAGCCTAAAATTAAGTTTTACGATGTTGATAACCTTGAGATTATTGTGAAATGCCGTGAATTTAAACCACATTAGCTAGACATGTCCCCCTGCTGAGTCCAAGCCAATCTTC